CCCCATTATAAATGATATTTATAAGTTGTTGTTTTTTTGTTGTTGTTTTTTTTAACAACCTGTGATGTTTGGAAGCTGAAACATTATTTTAAAGTTGGGGATTCTCACAATAGAATGGTATACGATACTTCTGAATCGCACACTTTACAACCCTATCATCCCCAGTCAGTTCAAAAAGGAAGAGTACAATTTCCACAGGTTCTGCAAATCTCTGCACCATTGCTTAACCTCTCCCCTAAGCAGTAGAACAGTGATCATACTCAGAAGATACCTACTCTCTGGTGTACCATAAACTTGGAAAACATGAGAAGCAATCTGTATTGGGGTCACATCCGCATTATTTTACAAGACATGTGTACATTAGCCCTTTATCTGAACATTAACTAAGGAAATTAGTAGTAGGGTATCCCACTTTAAATTTCCTCCTTACAGTTATATGCCATCTTCCACTGCTCATTGGTACTTCTGATCTGTCTCAACTCTCTTTAACCACTCATGAATATTCAGGTAGCCCATAACTCAGTGGAGAGTCTCCAGTGTATACTGAGGACAAAATACTCATGGCCAACAGGAATCAAGACAGACCCCACCCTGATACATTGGCAAAGGACGACAAGAGTGGTCAAAACGTAGCTTCTCCAGACTCGATCAGTAACATTGCTGTATGATGGAGAGATAGTATAGTTGGCCTAACAGTAGGTGGGGAAATTCCCTGAGATGATGGGTATTTCAAGTATATTTCCTCATTCAGATAACAATACAATTTCTAGCTGTTAGCAGTGATTCAGAGATTTCCCAAGCCTGTTCATCTGAGTTGTCCTGGACTCACCATCCAGATTCTCCACTTTCATTCCTTCTGTTCTTTTCTCCATTCAACACTGAACTCTGGAATCAGAACTTTGACTACCAGCCTGCTCTTGGTTCTCTGTACTTGGATTTACATGTGATCTCTCTTACAGATCCTGGACATTTCTCTTTCCCCAAATCCTATCCCTCACTAAGTATAAATGTCCTATATGGTCCTATTCCCTGTCAAGTGATCATTTTGATGAAATATTTGCTTCTCAAAATTAAGCACTTTTGACTTTTAAAATGATATACTATGTGAATATTTATGATATTTACACACATTAATTTGTGAAAATATGAATTGGAGAAATTTTTTGGGATGTAATTTTGGCAATATTTATAAAAATCCAGTCTTCACACACTCTACACTTTAACCCAACTTCTACCTTGCTATTGAAAGGGTTAGCTAGCTAGTTTAATTAGGCAGGTTAAGAAAGTTTTAGGAATGAAAGGGGTCTATAGGAGAGGAATACATAACAGAGACTTGAAGACACCACGGTGTTTATTTTACTTGTACAGAGACTAGAGAAATGGAATAGGCGAATAGAAATATATCTGGCCTTTGCAATTAAGACAGCCATAAACCAAGGGAATCTTGGACTTGAGCAATTAAAGTGACCATAAGTTAGGCCAATAGTAACCCTGGATTGAGCCTGCAATGCAGGCATATGACTTGACCAGGACTTGAACCCATGAGTAGCTGGGAGGCTTTTTCCGCCAACACAACTGGAAGAGCTATAAGATATAATCAAAAGTGACTCCAACCAACACAATAAGGGGAAGAGAAGGTGGGGGACACCATGTGGGCTTTGAGCTTTGAAAACTAATTCTATGTAGCAAAATAACCAATGAGAAGGGCTCAGGTTCAGACAAAGAACTGCAGCCTATTTAATGCCTCAAGACAAAGCAGCAGTCACCCTTCTCAGGGACTCTTCTGTATGTCCAGGAGGGACAGTCGTAGGCTTAGAATTTAGAATTCGGTCTTAGAGGTAATGTCTGCTTGCAATAAAGTTTCTGGACTTTTCACCTATCACCTTTTGTCCGTGGCTTCATTCTTCAAAACCGTAAGAGACAAGAACTTGGGAAAGAAATCACCTTTGTATTCCAGTTCAATTTTAAGTTTCACTATCATGATGAACAGTAGACTTTGGGCCAATAAGTCATGTTAAAAATATTTGTTTTTTTTAATTGATTTGAGAGAGGGTGAGGGAGATATAGAAACATCAATAATGACAGAAAATTACAATTGGCTGCCTCCTGCATGCCCCTATTATGGATTGAGCCTGCAACCCAGGCATGTGTCCTGACCAGGAATTGAACCCATGACCTTCTGGTTCATAGGTTGACATTCACCCACTGAGCCATGCTAGCCAGGGAAAATATATTTCAGTTTTATAAGTCATTGCAACAAATGTGAAACAAATGATGTGCTCATCAGGAGATGGTTAAAATAATCATGGTACATACATGTCATGGGAGCAGTTATAAAAGTGAAGTATATTTATGTGTTGCCATAGAAAGATCTTGTATACATGTTAAGTGGAAAATACATATAGCAGAATATGTGTATCACTACCCATTATGTTTTCAAGTCACACTATATATTTTATATACAATTATGTATGGGAAAGCCTAGAATTAAATTTAAAATAATAGATTAATTTTGGTAATCTCTGAGAATATGGCTGAATTATGAAGGAATATTGTAAAGGTGGATATTGTGATCTATAGTTTTAAATTTTTACAGTAATAATGTATGCACTCTCAGCTTTATTACTTCTGCTGTAATTGTTTAAGTACTTTCTTGTTAATTCTCACATGAAAATATTTTCCCATTGGTTTTTATTTAGAGAGAGTGGAAGGGATGGGGAAAGAGAAACATCAATCTGAAAGACACATGGATTGGCTGCCTCCTGTAAATGCCCTGATGAGGGCTGAGGAGTCTGCAATCGAGGTATATGTTCTTGACCTGAATTGAACCTGGGACCCTTTAGTCCACGGGTGGACACTCTATCCATGGAGGCAAACTGACCGGGGCCTCAAGTGCTTTTAATTTATAATATTCAATATACCAAAGTGGAATATTCTGAGTGACATTCTGCACCTCTACATGCAAAAGAGCTAGAGCTGGACAAAAATGCCAACTCCCAGGCATAGTCAGCTTTCTTGTAAATGAAGCCCATAGATAATGCCCAAATTATACTTACCATTTTTATCTTTCTTTCTTTACCTGTGATTTTAGCACTTTGTATTAGAAGTCCCTTTTTATCCCAAGAGGCATTATGAAGGATTTAGAAAGGATTTGGGCCTTAGGATGGAGGACTGAAATAGAGTGAGCTCTGGAAGAATTCACATCAGATGTCTAATCTCGACTCTAACACTAACCAGACCTGAGAACTCCAGCATATTTCTTAGGCTCTTAGGCTCTTCATCTGCGGAATAAGTCTGATAAGTCCTTTATCAATTTACTGTTAGAAAGAATATACTGTATGTAAAGCACCTGGTACAATTCCTGGCATACCTTAGGTTTTTTTTTTAATAAGGGGTAGTTATTATTACTGTGATGATTTTGAGCACTGACCCCACCACCCTTACTTAAGTGAGTTAAAAAAATCCAGTATGACCTAGAGAGCATAAAGTACTATAGAACATGGGATATCAAATTTACCAAAATACTGCTTAGCAAGTAAAGTGCAGTATATATATATATATATATATATATATATATATATATATATATATATATATATATGTTGTATTCTTTAATAATGGGGAAGGAAATTTCTCTAGCTGATGCAACCCTTAAGTTCCTGGTATTTCTGACAAAGACAAATTCCTGACCTTCTCATTTTCTGTTCCATTCAAACCACCCCTATTTTCATTACTTTTACACTCATTGAAATTATAAGCATTTCTTAGAATATGCCAAATTATACCAAAAATAACACTTAAAATATCCTTTAATGGAGCTGTCTCTGGTTCTCAGCCCAACACAAAAAATGCTAACAAAGTGGTTTCTGGGTATCTCATCTCAGGAAAGTATCACTGTTATCTCTCAAAAACTCTCTGAAGATGATGTGCATAAAAATAAAAGATTGTAATGAAAGAGAGGCCAGACCATAGAACAACTTCCATTCCTGCTCCAGTGGGTATTTCCATTTTTAAATCATGACCCAAAAGTTATGTGTGAAGAACAATTTTCCCCTCCAGGTTTTCAAGTCTCAACTCTGCAACCTACCACCTGTAGGTCTGATCAGTGATCACTAAACCTTCAAACATTTCCTGCCCTATATCTAAAATCTACATTAAGATTATGAAATTGAAGCATTCAACTGAAGAAATTGAAGCATTCCCCATACCCCAATTTCCTAGATTCAAGGCATTTACCTTGACAGTCTCAAATAAAACTACTCCACTCACCTGTTATCTCCTTCCTTCACTTGACCTCTAGGTATCAGAAGATATCTCAACACTATTATTATAGAATTGCCAGTTCTGTAAGTAAAAATTATAAGGACAAGTCCTAGGCCTTATTTATCCTAGAAATTCCAGGGCTAAGGTGGTGATTTCCAAACAGCAAAAGTTCAATAAAGTATGGGGAATAATAGAAAGAGTGAGCACAGGATATAATTTATTGAGATTTATTTCTTATGCATACACAAACAAGTTAACCAAATTCAACCATATATAATTTTCTTTTATAAAGATAAAATGTATAAGGAGTAAATTGACAATCTTTTACTCCTGCTCTAGTTATTGAACTCAAGTATCTTAAAACAAATTTCTTTCACATTTCTAGTAAATGTCTATAGCAATGTGATGTTATCTTATTGCAGGTGACAACAGATGGATGGTTTCATATTTTAACAAAAGTTCTTACTAAGAAACCTCTTTAGAGTATTAAATGTGTGACCATTACCATTCATAAACTTGGAGATTTTGAAGCTACTAAAACCAATATTTGAATAATACATGTCAACAAATAATAAAATTTCAAGGTACACATATAAAAGAACACAGGCATATATAGTGTGTTCCTTTCAGCCCCACCACAGACCTAAGTTCATGAACACAAACTGCCTCTTCAAACAATGCATGAGGAAACTATCCCTGACTTCTCTAAGGTGTGGGAGGAGCTGCCTGGCTTGGCCTTAGAACTCGCAGTGGCTACAAGAGTCCATAGTTATGGCCATCACTTTTTCTCTGGCTCTCTCTTTTTCATCTTCCAATGCTTCCTCATACTGAGATGGAAAATACTGTGGGACAGTCCCACGAACCTTCGCCAGAAAATGTAGGACTTTCATCTTGGTGGTTTCAGCATGGGCTCTTGGGCCCCACAGATATTTAAATTGTGCAGGATCACTATTGTCCACCTTCTGGTACTTTAGGTATTCCTCCTCCACGAAATGTTTGGTGATGAGCTCCCTGATATCCCCAAAGATATAGTGCTTCTTCTCATAATATAACCCCATCACACTCAGAACATCCCAAATGTCCTGTTCGGTGGCACTGTTGCCCTTCACGAAGACTGCACCCAGGATAAGTATCAGGATGCCAGTCTTAGGCACACCGACTTTGCAATGCAGCATTCCATCATAGGTGAGGCCCATTTTGATGAAGATGGAATAGCACTGGTTGAAGGGATCAATATCTATCACATCAAGGCCAAAGACTATCTCCATGCGTTCAGATGCTCTCTGGAAGACCTCAACGAAGTGGTCTTCATACTCTTTGCTGATAACCTTCAACATATCTTCTTTGGTTATTACCTCCTTCATTCGATACTTGAGCAGGAGGAAATTCACCAATGAAGACACATTTTCATCTAGAGCTTCTATGGGCACATTATTGGGGTCTGGATCTACCTCTAAGGTACTATCCTCCTTCTCTTTGCTAGTGGGGCCCTCACCATATTTGATTGATGAGGAGACTGTGGTGACAATTGAGGAAGAACAGAAACTCTGAGCACTCTCAGAGGTACTAGGGATACCAGCATCAGGAGCCTCCTTCAGATTGCCAGGCATTTCAGGATGGGAGGAGAGACAGGCCTCCTCCAGAGCCTTGGACTCCTGTGCAACCTCCAGGCCCTGGGTCTCACTGTGGGTCTGAAAGAGTTGATCAGGTGAGCATTGTGGATTCTTCTGAGGAAAAGCCATGAGGACACTTGTGGTAATCAGGAGTGTGAACAAGAAGACAATGTGGAATCACTCCCTAAGGAAAAGAAGGAAGATGTGAGTGGCCTCAGATGCTAATCTCAACTGGGGTGGCTCTGATAAAAGCCACTTCCAATGGTCCTTTCCTGACAATAGTGCCACAGGGCCTCGCAGAGTACCTGTCCTCCTGGATGCTGTGTCCCCCATACACATGAAAGACAAATACTCAATGTTCCTCAGGGTGCAACAAGGCAAGCCAGGCTGAGAATTCTTAGGGATGACAGTAGGCAGGTGTGGCTGAGGTCTGTAGAGCCATTTGTGTTATGAGGAGTAGAGTCCCTTCAAATCTTCAATCAGGTGCATTACTGAGGCATTCCCTAGGAACTGTCAGTCATCTCCCTCATGCTATATATACTGTCCCCCTAAGAGCAAGTCACATCTCCCTTCAGTCATTACTCTGTATCTCTCTAAGGAATCTGTACCACTTGTTAACTCTATCTAAAACTGATCCCAACTTGGCCCTATCAGACAAAAACTGTCAGGTGGAAACTAACAGCAACACAGTCATAGTAGGGGACTTTAATACCCTACTAACACCACTGAACAAATCCTCTAAACAAAAAAAAATCAGCAGAGAAACATCAATCCTAAATGACTCACTAGATCAGATGGAATTAATTGACAACTTCAGAACATTTGACCACAAAGCTGTAGAATATACATTCTTCTCAAGTGCACATGGGTCATTTTCAAAGATAGACCACATATTGGGACATAGGCAAAATCTCTTCAAATTCAAGAAGATAGGATTCATATCAAGCGTCTTCTCAGATCACAATGGCTTAAAATTAGAAATCAGCTACAATAAAAAACAATGAAAAAAATCAAACATCTGGAGGCTAAATAGCATTGTATTGAAAAATGATTGGGTTACCAAAGAGATCAAAGAATAAATTAAAAAATCATGGCTACATATGACAATGAAAACAAAACAATCCAAAATCTATGGAACACAGTAAAAGCAGTCTAGAAAGGGAAGTTCATAGATCTACAGGCCTTCCTCAAAAAAACAAGAAAAAATGGTAATAAATTATCTAACCCTAAAACTCAAAGAATGAGAAAGAGAGCAACAATAAAAACCTAGCATAAGCAGAATGAAGGAAATAATAAAGATCAGAGCATAAATAAAAGGCATAGAGACAAAAATCAAACAATACAAAAGATCAACAAAACCAAGATCAGTTCTTTGAAAGATAAAGGATACTGATGAACCTCTAGACAGGCTCACCAAGAAGCAAGGAGAGAGGACCCCAATAAACAAAATCAGAAATGAAATAGGTGAAGTAACAACCAACCCCACAGAAATACAATTGAGTATGAAAAAATACTATGAAAAACTCTATTCCAACAAACTAGACAACCTAGAAAAAATGTACAAAATTCTTAGAACAATGCAAGCTTCCAAAACTCAATCAGGAAGGATAAAATAAAAAAAAAACCTGAATAGGCCAACAACTGCCTAAGATATTGAAGCAGCAATCAAAAATCTTCCAGCAGCCGAAGCCGGTTTGGCTCAGTGGTAGAGCGTTGGTCTGCGGACTGAAGGCTCCCGGGTTCGATTCCGGTCGGGGGCATGTACATTGGTTGCGGGCACATCCCCGGTGTGGGGTGTGCAGGAGGCAGCTGGTCGGTGTCTCTCTCTCATCGACGTTTCTGGCTCTCTATCTCTCTCCCTTCCTCTCTGTAAAAAAAATCAATAAAATATATTTAAAAAAAAATCTTCCAGCAAACAAAAGCCCTGGTCTGGACAGCTTTACAGAGGAGTTATACCAAGTGTTCAAAGAACTAAAACCTATCCTCCTCACACTACTCAAAAAAATTTAAGAGAAAGGCACACTTTGAAGCTCTTTCTTTGAAGCCAGCAGTACCCTAATCCCAAAACCAGATAAAGACACAACAAAAAAAGAGAGCTATAGGCCAATATCCTTGATGAACATAGATGCTAAAATCCTCAACAAAATTCTAGAAAATTGGATTCAGCTTTACATTACAAAGATAATTCACCATGACCAAGTGGGATTTATTCTGGGGAAGCAAGGATGGTACAATATCTACAAATTAATAAATGTAATACATCGCATAAAGAGAGTCAAAAATCACATAATCATATCAATTGATGCAGAAAAAGCATTTGACAAAATCTAACATCCTTTCTTGATAAAAACTCTCAACAAAGTGGGAATAGAGGGATCATACCTCAATATAATAAAAGCCTTATATGACAAACCTATAGCCAACATCATACTCAATGGGCACAAACTAAACTCATTTCCCCTAAGACAAGACAGGGATACCCACTTTCACCACTCCTATTCAATATTGTACTGGAAGTGCTAGCCAGTAGCACTTCAGACAAGAAGAAATAAAAGGCATCCAAATTAGAAAAGAAGTAAAACTGTTCTTATTCAGAGATGACAAGATACTATCCATAGAAAACCCTAAAGACTCCGTAAAAAACTACTAGAAAAAATACATGAATTTGGCAATGCAAAAGGATACAAAATTAACACACAGAAATCTATGGCCTTTCATTTGATGCCCAATGCACAAGTTAGTGCACCAATGGGGTCCCTCTGCCTGGGCTGCGGGAATTGGGCTGAAACCAGCTATATGACATGCCCTCAAGGGTCCACAAGTTCTGAGAGTTCTCTGGTGACACACTCTGGAATCGGGCTTCCTCCTCTCTGATTTCAGATGCATCACTCGAGAACTGCAGCTGCTAAGTCACTGCAGCTCAGCAGATCCTACACTGAGCATCTGGCCCTGGTGGTTAGTGCATGGTATAGCTACCAGTCGGCTGGTCACTTAGGCTTGTATATATATATATGATGAAATCACAGTAAGAGAAATGAAAAAAAAATCACATTTACCATTGCACCAAAAAAAATTAAGATAACTAGGAATAAATTTACCTAAGGATGTAAAAGACCTTTACTCAGAAAACTATAGGACAGCCAAAACCAGTTTGGCTCAGTGGACAGAATGTCGGTCTGCGGACTGAAAGGTCCCAGGTTTGATTCCGGTCAAGGGCATGTACGTTGGTTGCGGGCACATCCCCAGTAGGGAGTGTGCAGGAGGCAGCTGGTCGATGTTTCTCTCTCATCGACGTTTCTAGCTCTCTATCTCTCTTCCTTGCTCTCTGTAAAAAATCAATAGAAATATATTTAAAAAAAAAACATCAATAAAACAGCAAGAAAGCATGGGAGAACATATTTTCCAATAATATTTCAAATAACGGTTTAATCTCCAAAATTTACAGAGAACTCATACAACTTAACAAAAGGAAGATAAACAATCCAATCAAAAAATGGGCAAAGGACCTAAATAGACACTTTTTGAAAGAGGATATATACAGAAGGCCCAGAGACATATGCAAACATGCTCCAAGTCACTAATCATTAGAGAGATGCAGTTCAAAACAACAATGAGGTACCATCTCACATCTGTCAGAATGGCTATCATCAACAAATGAACAAATGACATGTGCTGGCTAGGATGTGGAGAAAAACGAACCCTTGTGCACTGCTGGTGGAAATGCAGAAGACAGTATGGAGTTTCCTCAAAAAGTTAAAAATGGAACCCTGTACCAACCTAAGGACAGCATTTGGGGACAAAGGGACTAACCAATGGTTTCCCTGATGTCAGCCTTGCATGGCCTAGAGATGAATGTCAGCCACCCTTCCATTGCTACTCTGGATCCCAGAAGGTAAAGGTAGTCTGAATAGATTATTGAGCAGAAGGAGTCCTATGCCTTAACAGGTGTGAGTTATGCCTGAAGGGCAAACTCAGCACATGAAAGGGTGATACCAGGGGTCTCAGGGAACCTTTTGGAGATACCAAGCCATGACAATCAGATGAGACAGCTAATCACTCTTTCATGGTGTTCACCCATGGAAGTGAGCCCTTATGATAATGGGCAAAATTAGGACAAAAGGAGAAGTCCCAGTAATCCCATTTCTAAGACTATATCCCAAGAAATCAGAAACAATCAGAAAGGATTTATGCACCCCTATGTTTACAGCAGCATAATTCCCAATAGCTAGTATTTGGAAACAGTGCCCATCAGCAAATGAGTGGATTAAACACAATGGAATACTATTCCATTATAAAAAAGAAGGAACTGTTACCATTTTCAACAGCATGGGTGGAACTGGAGAGCATTATGCTAAGTGTAATAAAGCAGTTGGAGAAAGATAAATATTACATGATCTCACTCATATGTGGGATATAATGATCAACATAAATTGATGAACAAAAATAGATCCAGAGACAAATGGCAGGGAACCGGGGAGTGTCAGAGAGCAACCTAAGGACTTGTATAGGTGCATATTAGCATAACCAATGGAAATAGACACTAGGGCAGTGTGGGCTTGCCCGGGGTGGGAATGGCTGGGGCGGGGAGTTGTCAATTGGGGAAAAGAGAGACATATGTAAAACTTTAGACAAAAAGAAAAAGAAAGAAGGAAAAAAAGAAGTCATGAAGCACAAATATATACAGAATAAAGACTGTTGAAATGAATAGGCAAAGGGAGCTCAATGTGTGTGTTTTTTCCCCACTGGAGGAATAAGGAAATTTATTTCAGCTTCTACCAGATAGGACAGAATTTGCATGTCTATCATTTTCCATGCAGGGTATGGGTGGTGAAAAACTGTGTCAGAGAGCTCAGGCCTGAGGTGGTTTAGAGGAACTTACTAGAGTATGAAGTCCAGTGGGAAATGGTCCCCAGAGCCAGTCTAATAGTAATTTCACTGGAGAGTGCTGGTGCACCAGAGGTGGTCCACAGGAAGTGTTTCACTGTATGAAAGAAAAGCTTCCCAGAGAATGAGTACCCTTGACCTCCTATATGCTGACCTGATAGTTTTGCATTCACCCAAATATAAGTAACTGAAAATGAGATAAATGACAACTTTGGAATGCCATTTATTAGTCTAAAACTTTGCTT